TATTTTAAATAGTCAGTCTGAAAACGTGTTGGTATTATTTTATGCTATTATTTTTCACTCAATTCTCCAATTCTTTCCAAATAAAATTACTAATATTATAAAATAATAAAATTTTGACAAGTGAACAAATTTTATAAAGTGACCATATCCAACATTAACACCATTTTGGATATGGTGTTAATAATAATATGAAATTTCATATTATTAATAACTTTATTCTAACAAAGTTTATTATAATTGGACAAATTGATTACTCAAATAATATATTTTTTGTTTGGAACCCTTTTTTCATACCTATCAATAAAAATAAGAAAGAATAATATTCGAGCATAAATATAATTTGTTAACAGTTGTTTGGTTTTTTATTTTGTTATTATATAATAACAAATAAGATTGATTTGTGCAAAAATGATCATTATTTTCACAATGTTTTACTGCTTTTTCTTTAAAAGTATTTAATTGTGGCTTATATGTTTCCATTCTACAATTGTATTAAAAATATCCCAAACTTAAATATGTTCTTTATTAATTTATTTTTGTACTGACATTTATTCGATGGTTGTTTAAAACCACCAATTATTTTATTGTTGTGTCAATTTGACAAATTTGTATTGTATTATTTTTAACAAATTAAAATGTATTAAAATATACTATTATAAATTAATACATTTTTGTGAACATAAACCAAACAATTATACAAATGATTATTAAAATTGGTTTTTGTTTATAGTAGTTATTATTATAATAAACAAACTCTATATATAATTCGAAGAATATTACTAACGAAAAATTTAATTTGAAGTAAAAAATACAAATTATCCTAAAAATATAACCACTTTAATTGTAAAATAAATGTTATAATTTTTACTAATAAATAAAACACATAAACTAAGTTGCAAACAACACCAAAAATGTGTTTGTATTTCAAAGACACAACTTAGGTTTTTGTTTCATGTTGGCGTTTCTACCTCAACTTTATCAACAATTTAAAAACAGTTATTTTTAAATCAAACACTTTTTATTAATTATAAAATTATTATTGATAAACTATTAATTAATAAAAACTTAAAATATAAATATAATTTTTTTTTGGAAAAGTGTGTGTGATTTAATTATATTTTTTTATTAATTTAACAACTAAAATAACTAACGAATTGTCATTTCATCGTTCAAGGAATTATTTGAAAACAATACTCTGTGTTATTTTTGGCTTTCAACCAAAGGCATTTCATTCATAAATAATTTTGGATGGTATAAAAGGAACAACGGACTTTTATTGTGCATATCACAATGTCGTTAACCAAGGCACTTCAGCTTCAATTTCGAAAGAAGAAGTCCCATAAAAGCACTCTTCGACCTTCAAGTGATAAACTCCCATTTCTCCCAGAGTTATTAGATGATATGTACAAACAAATTACAACACCTAGATGTGATAAAACTATTGAAGATAGAGAAGTTGACGATGAAATATTTGGTATATTGACTAAGACGAAAGATAATACAACTTATGTATGTGTAGGAGATCCAAACACCGTTATAAAAGAAAAGATCAGTGAAATTTACATTGACTAATTAAAATGTGTATTGTATTATGTTTATTCGAGTTAAATAAAATATGGGTATAAATTTACAAATTGTTTTTATAATTTATAACACATAATAAATTATTTATTTATTGTTTGTATCATTGTTTGTATTAAATAATACTGTATTCTTATAATTAAAAATGTTACTTGTAAAATGTGTGTCTTGTTTATTAAAAAAATGATTGTTAATTTCACTATTACATTATGGTCACTTACCATCTGTAAAACTTTGCCTTATGAAAGACTTTTATAATTAATTATTAATTAAATTAAACCATTATATAGTTTAATCATTTCTTATAAAAATCACTATATTTTTTTGTTTTGATTTATTTAAATTGTTTTTATTAACTAATATTAATAAATAAAAGTCTTACATAAGGCTGGGTCTCATTACTGTAGTGGTTGAAATACAATTTCATAAAAAAATAAATTAAAAACGTATAATAACTATATAATATTTTTTACTCGAATATGTATAGTCAATGAAAAAGGTTGGATGCTTTCAATTAATTCAAAATAAAATTAGTAATAACTCATATAATTGTATATCACAACTAATTTAAATTACAAAACAACTCTTTGTTGTCTATTTTTTAACTGATAAAAATTATATCAAATACATTAAAAAAAGTTTCATTAACACAAATTTCTTATTTCCTTTAAAAATTGAGGTCACTTTTGATGACAATTTTTTTTGTTGAAAAAGGTAGAATTTTTTTCGGTTAAATATTTTTTGTTAAAATGAATATTATTATTAAATTATTAAAAAAACTAAACATTCTATCAATTGTCTTTATACAATCGTATAGAAACTGAAAACATTAATAAAGATTTGTTTGACATCTTTCTGTTCTTATTAAGATTCGTGTTGAATTTTATGTTGAAAAAAAGAGGTTTATATGTTTTGGCAAATAAAAACGAATTAATGACACGATCTTGATACAATCAAATGGAAAATATTACTAGTGACCAATTCAAACAAAAGAAGTGTCAATTGACTCACGTTGAAGCAATTGACGATAGAAGTTGCCCTGCAATTGACGCAAACTGTAAGGTGAAGAAGGCGGATTTTACATATTTTTCTTTTATACCTCTTCAACCATTTTTCTTGGAACATGTTCACACCAAAGACAAAAGTGCTCCTTCGATACCTTTTCCGACAAAACCAATATGTACCAACGAAAGACAAAAATTGATGAAAGAAATTGTTGAACGATCTGAGTAATTCAATTTTATTTTTACTTTTTTATTCAAACTCAAAGTGTTTATGTAATGTTTACTGTTATTATAAAATAAAATATTAATAATCACTACTTGGATATAAGATTGACCTTTAACGATTTTTTACAAATAAAATGTATAAAACCAATTTAAGTTTAAACTCTGAAACCTTTTAAGTTCAAAACACACTTAATATGTGATTATTTTATGATCACTTTTTATACAACAATTTATAATAACAATTTTTATCGTGTTAAAAAGTTTGGACTTATCATAATTATCTTTTAATATATGTTTATACACAGTCAGGATTTTTTATTCATTTCTTGATTGTTTAAAAAAAATATTAAAGACAAATGGCCACAAATCAAGTTTAAGATAAAAATCCCAACAATAGTTTATATCAAAAGTGAGTATACAATAAACGTTATTATGGTATTAAATCTTCATATTCTGTTCTTTTATAGAAAATAAAAAACTTTAGGTTGATATGTATTTCTTTAAACTATATCAACCTCACACAAACACAAAAAGTTCACAAATTTTTGTATTTTATAACTTCCGCAATTTGAGGGTTTCCTCTTATCGTTTTAATATTTAAACACCCCAAAAAAGCGTCTTGAGCGACTTCCTCCAATTTTTCGTCAAGTCCGACCTCCTCCAAATTCAGACATCCCACAAAACATCTTTGTCGGACAATTCGCACACTTTCTGGAAATTCAATCCGTTTGATATCTTCTCTCCTCATAAAACACGACTCTCGCAACTCAATAATTCCCTTCGGTATGTCACACATTTTTTTCGACTCTTCAGAAAGAAGAAACACATTACAACAATGACACCCACACGTCTCACCAATCGTTCTCGCAACAGAATAACTGACATCCCCAACGTACTCTTTCGCGTCCACAAATATTTTCCGGAGACTTGGGAGGTGTGAAAAACTCGTAGGAATATGCGGAAGGTCCCGACACAGCGTGACGGAGGTCAAAGAGTTACACGACGAAAAACACTTTTCGCCCAGAAAAATCACATTTTTGAGATCCACACTTTGGAGCAACGGAAGTGACATGAAATTGTCTTTGTCGATGAAAAGTGGAGTATTCGCAAATTCGAGAGAAGTAAGAAAGTCGAGGCGCTCGAATGAATTTTTTTCAATGGACGTCACCGATGGTGGAATGATGAGCTTTGAAAAGAGCGAGTTCTTAGTGAAAGAGTCTGTGTTAATCTTTTCAACAAATGGTGGGATGTCATTTTCGTGCTTCTTCCGGTCGAATGGATTAAACACAATTTTCCCGTGATTTAAAGGTTGTTTGAGTAAGATCTCAAAAATGGAACATGAAATCTCACAATTTTTTGAAGATTTGTCTAAGTTTACTACGTCAAGGACTTTTAACGCCTTTAATTTAAAAATGTCAAGCACTTCTATTACGTGTAAATCATATAATCTTAATTTGGTTATTGTCGTGTTTTTAGTAAAGAAATTATAGTCAAAATTTTTGAAATGACTAAGATCTAATTCGACTAAATTGCAATCAAACGCGCCTACTTCGATCTTTTTTATTGTATTCGGAATAACAAGCGTTTTGGTCTTGCAATTTGCTAAAAATCCATTTTTGATCTCCGTTGCTATTTCCGGAATTATTTCATTTTCAAGAAAGTCCCTGTTTTCCACAAACACTTCACCAATTGTAACTTTTGCTTCTAAAAATGGACGCGCATTTATAACGGACATTTTTCCGTTTATTTTTTCTGTTTTGTTTTTGACGACTTTTTGTAGGCGGTCTAACCACATAAAACAATTATTCCCAAATTGGCATTCACTTTCTTTCATTAAAGTCAGTGTTGTCAAATTATCACAATGACAGACGCAATTTTCTCCCATTTTGACAACATTTGACAAATCCAATTCTTTTAGAGATGGAAGACGACAAAAACAGTAATCTTTCATTGATGTTAAATAACAAGTTTTGATGGAACTCAACGAATTCAACGAATTAAAAACTGTCGAATTTATTTCTATCACTTTATAATCAATCGCAGTCACTTTCTTTATTTTACTCGGTGAATATTTCCCTGAAAAACACCCGTTTTGTAACACTATAAAGAAATCAGAAGGGTCAATAACATGAGTTTTTATTACCACGTCCTCTTTTTCATGTTCATCATTTGACAAACCAATTAACTTTGAGTCTTGAATTTTTATAACGGACGTTTTTGTCAATTGTTTTTTTGAGTCTTTAAGGAATTGAAGAATTTTGGAGCTTTGGACAAAAACTCTGGAAAATGTTGCGTTGTGTTTTTTGAGAAAGTCTAAAGCGTCTTGGAAATTAATTTGGTAAGAAAAGTGATAGTGAAAAAGATCGTCGAAAATGGGATCGAATGTTTGGTACAAAATTTGAGTTTCAATATTTTTGAAAAGTTTTTGAGTTGAAGAAGTCAGAGGAATTGGGTTGAAATGAAACATCTGTGGGAGGTTGGAAAACTTCTTACAAACTATAACTAAATTACTATAATCGTTATAAGAAGAAAAATATTTTGCTATGGTCATCATGTTAAATAAATCAATTTTTGAATGCGGCATGACCGTGTTTGTTTTTGAGTTTCTTGTTGTTGGCCTATTTATATCAGTTCTAAATATTGAGGCTTAACTTTGGATGTATTGGATATGTCTAATTTTTAAAGTAAACAACTTTGAAGCTTGTCTAGTTTATTTGAAGGAATTTGAAATTATATATTTAAAATGCTGTAAATAAAGAAATTGATCAAATTTTTTATCAAAATAGCAAAGTAAATTCAGTTTGTTGTAAAACGTTGTCCCAGTCGCCAACGTTGTTCTTTTTATCAATTTATACACAAATAATTGTTTAAAACATCGGGAATTAAAAAAAATAAAAATAATTGGGAAAATTTTGGGAAAAAACTGAAACGACGATTTTTTTATAATTCGAACATAATCTAGTTAATTTTTAATTTTTAATTTTCGTTGACCAAAAAGAACAACGTTTTCTGACTAACTTTACAAACAGCTATTTTATCCAAATTGTTGTATAAAATAAACAAAAATATTAATATAGTTGAACAGAGTTATATTTAAAATTATTAAATATTTATAATGGTTTATCTAATTATTAAGTATAGTTAACACTTTCATTATTTATTGATTTTTTCTTTGTAATTGTAATTTTTATTTCCCGTTTTATTAGCGTTTAAGATACTAATTTTTGATAATAAAATTCTTGGGTGCGAAACTTATTATGTTTTATAACAATAGAAATAATTTTGATAACATTTAAATAAAAAATAAATTGAAAAAAAACAGGTACATTATTGAAAAACAAATACAACAAAATATCGAGGTAAAATCACAATTAAGTGATCAAACCAGTTGGTAAAAATCTTTAAACTTCAAATAAAAATTTATAAAAACGTTTTTAGAAGTGTTTTCTGTTTAAGTTGAAAAACAATAAGACATAATTTTATTGGGTACTTTATCAATTTTTGTGTTTATCCCAACTTTTTAAAAACAAAAGAAACACTTTTTACTTTGTCGGCTTTTCAATTATCATTACTTTGAAAACGACTCCACCATTTTTTTGCTGTTTGTGATGACAACATAAACGTTCTTAATTATTAATTTTGTAAATATATAAAAAGTTAGTAGCGGTTTTATTTGTTTTACTGTCAAATATGATGTAACTTTTTTTGTCCAATTTTCAATCATTATTTTGATCTTCTTTTAAAAAAGTAATAAATATGGCACTTTTGATACAACAATATCAACGCCATTATCTTTATTTGTAATTCATATTAATAATTATTTTACCTTCTCTTGATTTTTTAAAAATAATGCATTTGCCGGGACTCGAACCCGGATCTCCACCTTGGAAGGGTGGAATTCTGCCCTTAGACCACAAATGCTTCTTGAAATTATTAGTAATTAATTATAATAATATATTTATATGAAATAAACATAAAATAATACACTTTATAATTAAATTATAATTATTAAATAATAAAACCATTATATAATGAAACATTTTGAAAAATAAAAACGCCCCCCGGGGGGCTCGAACCCCCGACCTTACGGTTAAAAGCCGCACGCTCTACCGACTGAGCTAGGAAGGCACTTAAATTTATGAATAAAATAATTGTTATGATATGTATTTAAATCTAAAATTTATTAAAAATAAGGTGTTTAATTATAAATTTGGGTTTTATTTTTGATTGACATTTGTTGTTACAAATATAATAAGAAAGGCGACTTAAAACGTTAATTATTTTATCTGTGTTGTGATAATTTTTGAAAATAATTCATTTCAAAATTTAAAGCTCTACACTCTAAATATCAAACAAATATAAGAAATAGTGTTTATTATTTTTTTGTAAATAGTGAGCGACTTTAAATGTTATTGGTAAAAGATTGAATTGTACTTTTGATTAGAAACAAATTATTTTGATAATTAATTAACTTGACTACTGGCAGTTATATTTCATGACAAATTGTTAGTAAATTCTAATTCAGAGCTTTTAATTTTAAATAAGTAAAAGATATTCACATAAATTATTCAAAAAATTAAAATGAAAATGTTTTAAATAATATATTTCATTTTTATACCTATTTTTAAAAAGTTGTTTTTGATAACATAAAGTAAAACAAATATAATTTGTGTCTATGTTTTTTTGTAAATACCTTTAAATAAATGATACGTCAATTGCTATTATAAATAACAATTATTTATAAAAGAAGTGTATTTTTAATCATAAAAGTCAATAAACGTTGAATCTTAAGACAAGATTCAAGACAAATGAATAAAAAGAAATGAAAAAATAAAATATACATAAAAAGTATGGGAAAACTCCACGGAGGACTCACAAGAGCAGGAAAAGTTAGAAATATCACAAAGAAGGTTGAACGCCAAGACAATGGTAAGAAGAAGTTTGCAAGTGGAAGAGGATATATCAGATACCTCTATAATAAGAGATTAGAAATGCTTGATGGGAAGGTGAAGGACTACAAGTTCAACCCACAAAATTAACTGATCATTTACATTTATTTTAATTTTGTTTTAATGCTGTTGTGTTTATAATTATTTCGTTTTTAAAGCAAATGTATATTAAAATGATATTTATTTAGTTCAATAAAATAAAATATCAAAAGGTAGATATTTAAAGATAGAACTTTATATATACAGTAGGGGGAGTGAGGGGCTTGACGATACTGAGGTACTTGACCTATTCTTTAATAGTATTATTTTATAA